AAGTGATTAACATCAATGACCAGTCAGCTTTAAGTCAGCAAACCATCCTTCATGATGTGAGTGCATTGAGCCTCACAAAAAAAAAAAAAGCCTGAAAAATGAAAACTCAGATTTCAGGCTAGTGTCATAGCATAGCTTCCACCTGTAGCAGCACCCCACTCGGGCACTGGTTCAAGTCCTGGCTGTTCCACTTCCAATCTAGCTTCCTGCTTATGGGCTGGGAAATCAGCGGAGAATGGTTCAAGTCCCTGGGCCACTGCATCCATATGGAGACCTGGAAGAAATTCCTGGAACCTGCTTAAGATTAGCTCAGCTCTGGCTTTTGCAGCCATCTGGGAAGTGAACCAGTGGATGGAAGATGTCTCTCCTCTCTATAACTCTGCCTTTCAAATAAAATTTTAAAAATCTTTTAAAGAGAAGATTCAGATTTCCCAAACAAAAAAATCTCCTCTATTTCCAGCCTGCTGGTCTACCCTACAGACTTCAGACTTGCCAGCCCCAACAATCTCAGGAATCAGTTCTTTAAAATGAATCTAGATAGATGGATGGATGGATGGATGGATGGATGGATGGATGGATGGATGGATGGATGGATGGGTGGGTGGATGGGTGGGTAGGTAGGTGGGTGGAATTCAAACAGAGACTCAAGTACACACTCCACTGGTTCTGTTTCCCTGGAGAATTATGATTACACAAACTAGAACACAAACTGCATCTAGACCTACCTGGATTCTTCCACAGTCTCTCTGAAGATGGGAAGCAGAAGACAAAGTGGAAACTGCTGTGCAGAGTGGAAAGCAGACCCATCCACTTGCCTACGCAGGGTCAGCCTGGCGAGAATCCACCCACTCACCAGACACAGCCCTGCAAAGCTTGAGAGCAAGACGCAATGCATGCTGCGAAAGGCAGGGTGAGCTGCAGCACTGGGAATGGGGAACTGAGTAGAAAGTCTCTATAGAAAGAAGCTGAACTTTCTACATCCCTTCCCTATTCTATGAAACCTCTGAGTATGTCCTCCCCAACTCCTAAAAAAGAAAGTTTATCCACCTGAAGTTTTAGGCTTGGAGAAAACAAGCAAACAGCGGGCATGGCTGAACAATCAGAAAAGTAAAATACTCAAGGACGTCATGGCCATGTGTGGGTATCCTTGTCCCCCTCGCCCAGGTATCCACAGGAAGAGTTTGTTCAAGAAGAGTTTGTTGAGTCTTTGTTAGTCAGCCAGACCTTCAGACCTCTGTCAAAGAATGTGCCTCACAAGAAATGCCCCCTGTATTTTGACACAAAGGTTTTGAAAAATGAAACAGCCATGCCCACAATCTGAATGCACTGGTCTGGTTTTAGCAACACTTAAAAAATATATTCTTACCTATTTTAAAGGCACAGTTACAGAGAGAAGAAGGAAGCAAAGGTTTCTTGATAGCTTGGCTTGGCATTAAGAACCTGTGCTGTCTAATTTACCTCTTAAACCTATCTCCTTCTTGGAGGTTTAATCACTAGCCAGTCCAACACAGAGAAGGCAGTGAAAGTTCTCTCTTCCAAATACCTGCGCGTGAAGCTCTTGGGTGGGAAGTACTAGGTTTTGTGATGTTTTAGGCTTGGAGGTGGTCTCATGTTCTTTGGACCCCTGGCCTCTGCTTTTCAGTCCAGAGTGAGTTGGACGGCATAGGGACATGAGTTTGCCACCTGAGCACTTCAGGCAGCTGCTACTTGGCTGCTTGCAGTGGCTGAAAAACAAGATCCTTTGTTTCCAAGAGAAACCAATGTTTGTTCTGAAATTTGGAGAAAGCCAGCTGTTCTCCAGGGTGACATGGGCACAGAGTGCATCCCGGCCACCAATTATCTGCAAACAGTAAACTCCCTGTCGACTTCAGCTAGGGAGCTCCAGGTCCGGAGCACCCCTCCCAGTCTAATCTACGAGATGGGTGATTTTTAAGAATGGTGTTCTTTTAGATTAAAATGGGATTCCAATGAAGTCATCTTCTCTAAGGAGCAGAGTCACACTGACTCTACGGAATTCGGACAACAGCACTGATGTTTTTCAGGGAGGACACACAGCTCCCTTCAAGGCAATCACTGCCCTGCCCTAAATGGGGAAAGACAGATTTAAGAGAAGTCACGCACATGAGCAGACACTGTCAGAGCTTGGAGGCTGGGTAAAAATCTGGGGAAAAGCAGTACATATCAGTTGCTTGGAACGGGGCATCAGAACTAACAGGTAGCCTCTGTTAGGAAACTCGGCTCACCTGGATAGGCAGCTCTCCTGTACAAGGCTGCTGGGTCGTTGGAAGGGAGAGTGTGAATCTAAGACCACACTGCAGAGGAAGCTGGCTGCTGGTCTCCGAGGTCCCACAGTCTGCCAGCCAGAGGTGCTTATAGGAGAGTAATCATCTTTCCAAGTTCAGACGCAACTGCAGATATTAAATTGGGCTACAGTCCTCGATCAATCTTCAAAAATCCACAAGAAAATTTTTCCCAGAGAGTTTCCCTTGGTGTTTTTAGGATTTGAAGCCCCTTAAAGCTCAATCCTAAATCTTTCGGAGAACATGTCTTAAGCAAACAAACAAAACAAAGGACCCTACAAGGATGCAGATGGAGAGCAGATAGGACCTGACCCCAGAGAAGGAACCTTCCAGATACCTTCAAATAGCATCTGCAGGGGCACCTCTGACAACAAGCTAATGACAAACAGAAGGCCCCCCAGCTTGCACCTACAATTCCTCCCACACTGTTGATTTCCCAGGGAAAACACAAACATGGTGAAGAAGCAACTGCACATGGACATGATGCCCGAAGTCCTGGCTGTGCAGGCCCCTTGCTCAGCAGCCTCAGTGTGTGCTGTGAGCAGAAAACACACACACAGCTCACGAAGCAGCACTCTGACCGCACAGTGAATTGTCTGCAGCCCTACTGCACCCAAGCAGTGCACGTCAGGTGGCTCAAAATCACAGGCTTCACCTTCTCACAGAACTAGACACCAGGAGTCCATACGCAAGGTGTTGGCTGGGCTGCCCTGCTCTGGGAACAGCCCCTCTCATGCCTCTTCCCCTTCTGCTGGCTCCTGGTATGTCTGGGGCTTGCGGTCTGGAACACTCCAATCTCTGTCTCCATCTCCTCTTGGCCTTGGTCCTTGAATCTCTGTGTCTCAAATCTCCCTTTGCCCTTCTCTTATTGGGGTGAAGGTCACGATTTCATCCTCAGACCCTAAACTTAATGACATCTTCAAAGGTCCTGCTTTCTTCTTCAACATGTAAAACAGCATTTTTTTTTTAAATAAAAACGCACCTAGAGGAATGACTGGTAGAGCCAGGTTCACACATCTGCTTCCTTCTTTCATATGCACTGTGTGTGTATGTGTATGTGTGTGAGTGTGTGTGTATGAGATAAGACACCTGAAAGTAATCAACAAATTTTCAGTACTAATACAGTGTTACTAAAATTATTCTAAATAAGATCACACCAACATTTTTCCAAAGATGAGGTTTTGGAGGAAGCCCCTTTCAATCCATGCTAGTCTCCAACATACCAGAGCAGAAAACTCACCGTTTATTTAAATTAACACGGACCACAAACACGTCACTGCATTTAAGCATTGAATATCCCATGACACTATCTTGTCAGAAGGGAGCAATCAAGTTTATGAAGCCTGTGGAACCTCAGCATTGCCAGAAGTCCTGTGTATAACACAAGAACAACCTGACCCGACAGACGTTACACTGGTTGATGCTGACTCATCTGCAGTAATTGGCATCCCAGGAGATTGTGTTCAATAGCTCTGGGGAAAATGTCCAAGAGCCACCACAGTTATTTCTTGATGTGGCTGCCATGTGGATGAGTCTTAGGTGCTCAGAAAAGACTAAGCACACTTGCCAAAGGTAAACAACGATGAGACCCCTGGGGAACCTGGAGCTTCCCATGATGGCAAGAGCCTGTTCTGTCCCACCCAATGAGTCACATGGAGACAGCATTTTTCCAAGCACTCCAAGCATCCCCCACTTAAATGCACAGTCTGCTGCTCTGTGTAGACTGGTCAGGGTGGGAGCCATGTCATCACTGTGTCCCCAACAGCTTGGCCCCTGTATGATTCCATAAGCACTAATGGCAAGCAGGAAAATAAGAGCCACGATGGACACTTCTGCTCTGGTTATAACTAAAAACATGGATCGTTACTGAGGAGTTCAATTCACAACTCCAGGTGCCTTCTGCATGCTGAGTGCATTAAACAAGGTGAGGTACTATGCACTGGGGCACAGCAGGTACTCCAGAAACATTAGGGGCCACCCCCACTATTCTAGTCCTCACCCCAACAGACAGTGGAGAAATTCTTGCTGCAATGATCACAGCAGGAACACAAGTGCAGAGACATAAGGTCAGGGAGCTGCAACTGGAAGAACCAGCATGGATCCCAATTTGAAGACCTGTGTCCTCCCTGCTAACTACAGCACTCCTGCCTCCCGTTATCCAGTCTTCCCTGCTGGGCTGGTCCCAGCTTGCATATCTCTGGTCAGACTCTATGCTGGGGTACGCATGTGTGTGTATATGAATGGGCATCCATATATATGTGTACACATGTTTTGTATTTTTTTTAAGCACACACACTGTTTCACTGAAGACATAAAATAAACACTGACCTGAATATTTAAGATCCTAGGGAAGGTGATCATTTCCTTACATGTTAGTTTCCCAAACCATCCCACCCATGGGTGAAGGGTCACATGTGCCCCACAAACGAGCTCACGCAAGCAACATACACAGTACTTTGTAAATGCTAGAACCTTCATGTGTGATTACCTTGTGTAGAGTGTCTTGTTTCTAACTTAAGGGCTCTACTTAACACTCCCACACCAGCAGTGCTGAGAACACACCCCCTGGGGAAGGAACAGCGATCCCCACTCAGCAGTGCTGAGAACACACCCCCTGGGGAAGGAACAGCGATCCCCACACCAGCAGTGCTGAGAACACACCCCCTGGGAAAGGAACAGCGATCCCCACCATGGACTCACAGGAGGAGTGGATGCTGGGGAAGCTTTTGCGGCCCTCGGACACCAGGTCGGGGTCACCGGTGCAGTGCATTTCTGAATTCATCACTCCATCTGGAAAGCAGCGGTAAAAGAAATCGGGGCGAGGTCTACAAAAGACACCAGGGACATTTTCAATATAAAACGCTGCCATCGCGAGCAAGCCCCCAGCTGCCCCTGTCCCCTCCCAGATGACCCCAGCTCCTTCTTCAAGTCCCCTTTTGCCATCAACCCTGGGGAAGGCTCAGGCCTCGGGTCAGAGTTCTGAGGGGGAGCTCCCATTTGCCACTTCCTAGTTTTGTGACCTTGAGCATCTCTCATTTCCACAACCATAAAGGTCTATATCAATATCTGCGCAAAGGTGAGGTCCTGAGGATTGACCCCGTGACTTACAGGAGGCTCCTAAGCATGGGACCAGCAGTCCCTGCAACAATCTACAGCTCCACCAATGCAGCGCCTGCTTCCATAATCCAAGATTCCAGCTCCTCATGTCACTGTACTCTCTGTGTGAGTGGCCTGCATCCAAAAGCAGGTCTCGCTGCAGCTCTCTGGGGATCCCAGAGTGCAGACAACAAAGGCATCCAGGTGGCTTTTCTGATCTAGGACAAGGCAGGGAGGCCCCTGGGGGAAGCTGGGTGTCTGGGAGGTTGAGCCTTCTGTAGCAACACAATGCCCATGGATCGAGTTCTTACTGAGCTACAGTACTTCCTGTACCAGATGAGTCTCCAAAGAGTCACCTGATGTAGAGCTGACTTTTCTCACTTTGCCAGGGTTGGAAGGAAGGCTCAGGAAGACTGCACTCCCCGCCAAGGTCAAACACAACAGTGAGTGGCAAAGACAAGCTCAGAAGCCCAGTAGTTGGGTCCTTGCACCTACGCACTTCCCCACATGACATCTACTGACACAAGTGATGATACATTTGCACACTGATGTATGATCGTCACCTCACAGATCCTACAACTAATGTTGCTGAATGCCTGTCCTGGTCTAGTCCATGCTAACGCCATAGCCCTTTCTCTGTGTGTTCCAAGGCATAGTTCACAGACATCCCCAACACTACCCACTCTGCAATCCAGGTGGGACCTCAATAAACTCTCAAAGCTGTGGGTGCACTGCCTCTCCCCTACTCAGCCACTATTTCTGCAAAGTGTAGGTATCCACCTGCCAAATCAGAACCTCAGAGGGGTGAGACCTGGAGCTCAGTGTTTTAAGCACATTGAGTTGGAAGAACAGGGTAGCACCGGCTCAGGCACTAGCTAATTTTCATCCATCTTCTACCCTCTTGGTGCCAGGCCATTATCATGCACCAATTAGACTATAAATACTGAATTTCTTGGAGAGGGTCTAACTCATCCACAGTCAACAGCTAATCAGGGTCCCAGTCAAGTCTTGAATTAAGGTCTTGGGACTGCCAATTTCTATAGAGATTGGTTCTATTTCAGAGCAGCCAAGGGAGAAGGAGAAAGAAATGGGTCCACGTTTCCCAGTGGACCTCAGAAAAATGTGCCAGAGGCCAAAGCTCACGTGTCAACCCATATGCCTAAGTGCAAATAAAACAATAAATATTAAATTTCTATAACTTCATTGATCCCTAGACGCTCTCGCTAGCAAGTAAGTAGGTGTCTGTGAAACCCTAGGGCACCCGCAGAGGAAGGACCCAGAGACGTGAGAGGTAGACACAGGCCCACAAGAAAGTATGAATGAACTTCAAACAGTTCATGGAAAACAGAAGTAAAAGAGAAACTTCTTTGGCTGTTTAAAAATTTGAAATATGTGCATATTTTTATAAAACATTTTTCCCATGAACTTTTTTGAAGATGACTCAGATTCTTCATGTTTGACCTCCTGCTAAAACAAAGAGTTCAGAATTTAAGACAAGATCTATGTGAAAAAGCAAATAGCCCAGAAGGACAATAATTTAAGGGAAAAACGAAAAGCTCAAATCCATCCCCTCTATAGGAGGCCAAAACTCCTATAGAGACGACCTCGTGTGGTTTAGTCACCACTTACTTCTTTGAGGAACTTACCTTCCCACTATTAATTTAATAGTGTTTGTGCAGACTCCATTCAAAGCAAGAGCCAAGGACACCGCTACAAAACAAAACAACAGACAGAAAAATAACCAGCTAGCTCTCAAATCAAGATCACCACCGTCACCCTTACATCATGAGGCTATGTAATTGAGGACCAGAGAGATACAGACCAGGAGTATAAAGGCAGAGAGAAACTTGGGAAACGCATAACTAGGACAGACCTGGCAGAGTGGCTCATAAAATTCTATGCCTCCATGACCTGAAATTGATCCCTCCTCCTGGACTGATTTTCAACATGATGAAGAAGCTCATATATCATCTTCCGGCTTGATATGAACAGAGTTAATACTACACAACGTAGAATTTCTTTTGCTGGGAGCAAGAAACAACTTGTTTTATTTCTCCCCTGGCAACCTTCTCAGAGATCACCACCACCAGAGCAGCTGGTGTAGTTCTCATGCAGAAGGGGACATTCTACTCAGCAATTACTTCATTGCTGACTCATCACCAACTGACAACTGTCCATTTGCTGCCTAAGAAGGTGCAGAGTCCAGGAGCCTCTTTCAGCTTCGAGGTTTACCCAGATAAGCTTGCCCAGGTGTTGCATTTAGCATCTGAAACAGAAATAACTTCTGGCATGTGTTATGTTAAAGTATATGGCAGCACATGGTCCTCCTCTCTAAGCAGCTTGGAAAGAATTTTCTGGATCAAGTAGAGATCATTCAAAAGGTGTAGGTGACATGAGTCAGAGCTTTCCCTGAAAAAAAATTTTTTGCATCTCTCTCCTGTGGCTTTTTAAGAGAGTACAAAAGGCACAGTTATCACCATCAGTGTGATGGAAGGTCAAATGCCTTGTGTAAAAGCAATAAAAACCTACTGATGTCGCATTCTGTTGCTTTGTTGAATAATAAAGCATGGGAGCGACTGTTTCCCTTTGGCAAATATTAACTATTCAATAGCAGCTGATATCTGTGTAGGGCATTTTTGGGAAGCAGCTGCTTAGAATAATGCATAGCCATGAAGAGAGAAAAATGTGTTGTTTTACAAGCAGACGATATTCCAGTATGACCAAGTGGTAACCAAGGGCACAGGGCCAGAGATGGGATAAAACCTACCTGCTTTTAACAAGTTATCAGAGGGAGACAAGATTGGAGAGACATCTTCAGACACACGTGCCAACAGGAAACTAATCCCCCACATGTGGAACAGGAAACCCCCAGCAGCGAAGGGCTCCACAGCTGGTGGGCACGGCAGGAGCCAGCAGCACATCATGGCCCCTGAAACACTAACCACGCTACTGGGGAGGCACATAGTAGGAGCTGGCACAGAGGAGCCTGGCATTCTGCACACACAGACCCCTCCTTCCAAGTGGCAGCTTCCCTCCATGCTCAAGAACTCAGTGAGTTGCTAAGGGGCAGTGCAGACAGGAGGGCTCACTCTGCACCATCTTGGCTGCATTTTTATCCCTAGAACAGAAGGAGATGACCGTGGTCTGCCCTGTTGGACTTGGCCTCGCAGATCTTTACTGAGACTGTTCCTACCCATTTCTGAGCCTAGGTTGAGCACAGAAAAGCTCCCCAAGCATGAGCTTTACTAGCTGTGCTCCCATGGTCCTCTTAAATCTTGGTGAGCTCCACTAACAGCTACATCAACCCAGAACATAGCTCCTAAGCCTGCTGGACTTAGTATAGCACACAGAGTTCCTTAAAGACTTTGAAGTAGCTTTGCGAGTGTGGATGTTATGTAGCAATCAACACCACGTGCTTCACGGAGACACAGAATGGCGGGGAAACCAGAGTGAGGGTGTTCGCTGTGGAAGGCTCGCCAGAACCAATGCTGACACCAGAGAGAAAGCTGTGCTAAGACTGGAGACTCAAAGGAACAGACAAGCGGGGAAATGAACGGCCTCATTTGGGAAGTCTTGCTGATGAACAAGAACCCAGAGTCTGGCTCCTATAGGCTGTTGTTATAGCATCCCACCACACTTGGGTTTGAAAGAAGACTCAGTAAGACATACTACACTGCTGAAACAAACATCCACAGCAGCAGGTCGCAGGGCTTGCACATACTATTGGTTGCAAGCATTCCCGAGGCTCTGAGGGCTGTGTCACCACTATTATTGGTGGGGCAAATATATCCCTTGGCCTCTCTATGTAGGGCTCCCAACTGTGCAGACCTGGATGCCTTGCAGCCTGGAGTCCTCAAGTCATAGGCTGCATGGGGCAGACTTCTCTAATGCAGCACCAGCTGCACAGACATGGACACCATACACATAAAGACCAAGGAAATACTCAGGATTCAAGTTTGAGAGCCAAGGTTAAAGTCTACTGAAGACACCCGAGTTAAAAAGGGTGGGGAGGGACGGGCTGAGAAATAAATCTACCCACTGAGAACGTCCTGGGATTCACATAGGATCAAAAAAATGTATATCTCATGTTCTGTCCTTGCTTTTTGGTAACACCCTCCCACACCCACTCCAAAGGTTCCCTAAAAGAACTGCTTTTAAAAAAGTCTGTGCACAATGGGAGGCTCTTCATCATTTTTACAGGACAGACTCTCATTTATTTAGGCAAACAGAACATCCAATAATTCTACCTTCTTGGTTAATATAGAAGAGGCAAAGTGCGGCATACCACTCTGAAATGTCACCCTCAGGGAGATTTAGCTGAGAACAGAAAGGTCTGGAGAAGGTAGCTGTGAGCTACTTATTGCCATCACGACAGGCTGACTCCAGAAGCCAGCAGTAAATTGCAACCATAACCATGAAAGACAGTTCTTACCCACAGCCATTTGTCTTGGGACTCTGTGCCAGGACAGCTACTGAATAAAAGTAAAACAAAGGGATTCCCAGGCCAACAGCAAGGAACCCCTCCCGTCCCCGCAGGCTGTGTTAGGAACCACCATGTTATCTGCCTAAACACTGCCTGGCTGCTTGAGTCTCCTGCGGAAGGGTACCTATGCCCTTATAGAAATCAACTTCACTTCAGCTAAGAAGATGGAACTTGTATGACTAGCTCTCCAAACCTCAGATGGGCAACTGAGGGTGCACACCTAACCTCAGAGAGGCATCTACAACCAGACAGTCTGCACCTGGTGTTTCAAGTGCAGGCGTGAATTAAGTCAGAGTCTCCATCTAGGAAGTTTGGACCAAGGGTGAGCCTGGTGACTGGCATGGACACTGGAGTAGAAGCAGCCACCAGTGCAAGCCCAAACCTCATGCAGAGCAAAGGGTGGGTAGTAGAAACCCAGTCCATGCAGCAGGGTTGGGTTGGGGAGAGGAGGGAGGCATTTTAGAGACCACGATGGTCTTAGGCCAGGCCTGGGGGTCATCTCTTGCTGGCCAGCCCTTTTACCCCATGTAGAGTCTCTCCACATTTCCCTAACATTACTGGATGTCTATGATATTGCTTGTGATAACCCTGTACTAACTCCTAATTTGTCTGAAGTAATTTGAGAGAGATTCTGTTCAACTAGACAGAGCCTAAGTGAAACTGGGTTATTTTTAGAAATGTTCTCTGTGATGCTTTGAAGGCAAGAAATTGGGCCCAGCGCAGTAGCCTGCATGTGCTAGGATCCCATATGGGCACCAGTTCTAATCCTGGCAGCCCTGTTTCCCATCCAGCTTCCTGCTTATGGCCTGGGAAAGCAGTTGAGGATGGCCTAAAGCCTTGGGACTTTGCACTCGTGTGGGAGATCCAGAGAAAGCTCCTGGTTCCTGGCTTCAGATTGGCACAGCTCTGGCCATTGCGGCCACTTGAGGAGTGAATCAATGGATGGAAGAGCTTCCTCTTTGTCTCTTCTGCTCTCTATATATCTCACCTTCCAATAAAAATAAATAAATATTTGAAGGCAAGAAACCCTTTGCCTACCTCCCAACCCCTAGATTTAGCCCTCATACAATTCCCTTTCCCAAACACTTTATCCGGCTACATTTTCATCTTCTCAAACCCCAGTAAGGAACACACTTTTAAATGAGGGACCTCATTTTTCCCAGATTTACTGTCTTGCTGATTGGTAAGTTCACACACAAATTGCAAAAATAAAATCTGAGGATGAGGACTTGGATTAGTTATGTAACACATTAAAAAAAGAAAGACAAAACCAAAACAAAAACCAATGTAATTCAATGTGCCCCATGGTCAAAACATTGAGAACCTGCTGCAATAGGCTTATTTGAGTTGCTAAACAAGCCAGTACCATCATGTACTCAGTATCTGATTGATCCCTGGAGTGCCAGTGCCTCGTCACAGACACAGATGACTCTGTTGGGGGGATTTCTCACGAGGGCATCACTGCAGCTGGCTTCACTTGGCAACAACTGCCTCACCGCCTAACTGCCCCAAACTGGAGAGGTGTGATGTGGTTGATTTCCAGTTTTATACCTGCTTTTTCCCATTTTTGCCTTCAGGCAATGTCTATTTCTGAATTGCTCATGATGGAAGCCCACTGGCCATGCATGTGAGATCGGACACTGGGCAGTGACAGTCACTGTTGCCTTTACTGCCGGCAGCTACCCTGTCCCTAAGCCGCACAGATGTCCACTGTGCTTTGTTGTTCAGAACCATGGACAGCGAAGTCTCACGCCCTTACTTGAGTACACATTAGTTCTTAAAATTCATTTGCATCTTGTTTCTCCCAAGCTTCATTTGACCCACATAAGAGCTAGGTGCAACTGAGATTTTTAAACATGTCATAATTTAATTAAGTTGAGCCCCATCCCCTGAAGAAGGAACTGCGAGTACTCTACCTAAGAAGGCTTCCTTAATTTCAGTCTTGTCTGTCCGCCGGATAATTTTCACCACACAAATAACGGCCAAGGGCGTGAGGAATGAAATTGCCTGGAAGAGATCACAAATAATCCCTTATGAGGACATCAGTTTGCTATCAGAGGGCTGATCGGTCATTAGTTCCAGTTAGCTTCATTTCAACTCACTATCTGAAGGACCTCACTGAACTCCTGATCTCAGACAAACCAGGGTGATTAATATCCATATGGGGCAGCTACGGACATGTGAGAAACTGTAGGTTATAACTGATTGGCAATTGCTGGGAGTCACGTTTAAATGGGGACCCCTTCAACAGAATAGTCTCTAATTATGATGACTCCGAGTCAGTAACTTGCATCACTGTCCTAGGGAAGGGTTGGATAACCATTGGCCTCCCCTTCTCATCTCTCTGACAACATGAGAGCATGGGGGACCTGGGGCTAATTTATTCATTTTACTGCCCTTTTGTTGAATATTCCCTTCTTACCCAAGCAGAAATCAGTCTCCCCTCTTCCTTTCCTCCACACAGATGTTCAACAAATTAATGAATTAAGCTGGTGGCACCCAGAGGTAACTGACATTCATTACAAACCCAGTGATGAGGCAATATCTGTGCAAGGGACTCAGAGGACTCAAGCCCAGAAGCCCCTTTGCTGAGGACATGAACTTGGGAAGGTGAAGGCATCAATAACCCATGTCTTCTGCCCTTGCCCCCTTACCGGGGCACTCCTATATCTCCATGCCTCTACAGTAACAGGTGCCATGGTAACCAGCAAATCAATCCTCCTGCTTGGCTAACCACCCACAGCCTTTTTATTTAATGGTTCACCTTTGGACCACTTTTGACTGCAGGCCCATACAACCAACTGAGAAAAAGGCAGGGTATAAGGCTCTAGTTAATGACTGTGGATATGTATACAGCTATTAGCCTATTAGTGGATGTGGCTGTTTGGAATGTGTGTAGACGTGTGTGTGTGTGTGTGTGTGTGTGTGTGTGTGTGTGTGTGTGTGTCCAACCACCACCAGGGGACAGAAAGTCCCCCACTGCCTTTTGGGGAAGTGGCTGCTCCTTGTACCTTTTTCATCCCCACCATGAGTATAATCACTCTGAGTTGTTTTCTGACCAGCTAGAAGACACATCTGCTTGTCCCGGGACCTAAGCTCCAGGGAAATACTCCTGAAATCTGGTGATGGTTCCATGACTGCCTCCTCCAGGCCCCAGGACCAAATGACATAATCAAGGACCCCAACAGTAGAAAGGGAAGGCCTGGCATTGGCAACCACGTTTTCTGTCTGCCACATGCATTTTCATTCCAAATTTCCATGATTGGGAAGTTGTCATTAAATGCTCAGCCACCCTCTCAAAAAGGTACGTTACGTCTTTATGACAACAACTGCTCAAAATAACAATAGCAGAAGGGATTCATGATCTCACAAACCCACACTTGATCTAGCAGTCAGTGGGAGGGTGTAGACTGGCACTTTCACACTTTTAAAAATCTTCATGCATGTTCTAACCCAATGTCTCTCTGTAGAGAGGGCCTTCCAGATGGGATGAAGGGATAGCTGGAAGATGCTTTCCGCTTAATAGAATTCACTCAAATGAAGGTAATCTTGCAAAATAATTTGAGATGCTCCACATACTTAGCACTACCAGACAGCCAGGGCTCAAATCACCCTTGGGACTCCTCCATATGGCATTTCTCAGAAGGAGTTTGTGAGACAAGAAAAACCTTCTCCTGGCTGCTCTTGTTGCTTTCTGACCACAACTGCTAGTGACCAGCTTGGTGGATCTCCACATTAGCAGTACACAATTGCACAATTCCTGCCATTACTGTGTTATTCAGAACCAGATGAGCAAAGGCAGAAGACCAGGGGTGATATGGAAAAGCTACTCTCACTCATGAGTTGTCATGGTGAGTCAGAGGACATCCCAGCAAGTTCCTGAGCACCTCTCACAGCTCACACGGCAGGGCCATGACACAATGAATCCCTCAGGAACCTCCAAGCATCTCCCTCATGCTGGGTACTGGACAAAACTGCCACAGGTTTCGACTCACGCATTCAGGAGGCACCAACCTGCTTAAGCCAAAAGCCACAGTCAAGGCCTAACAAGTTCTCATTTCCCCAAATCCAAATGCCAAATCTAGCAGCGTAGCCCCCTATTCTCTTATCCTGTTTTGTAGATAGACCCAGCCGCAATCTCCCGAAAAAGAAGAAAGAAAATCACCAAATAGTGGATGATCCCACCAGCAAGTTATAGCCTATACAAGGAGTACATAACTGATCATGAAACACTCTCAAAAACTACAAGCCGCGAAGACTTTCCCGATGAGCCTCCTAAAAGCTGCCAGAGAAAACCCCAGATCAGCATGGAACTGCCCAAACAGGAAACATGAACTATCAGGCAGGAGACGCAAAGACTTAAAGTCCAAGAGTGACTGCTACAGTGGTCAGCAGAGCCAACTAGGGACTCCCATCTGGTGCCTCGGTGGGGAGAGGGGAGTGTCTTAGCTCCACCTGCTTACCTCACAATGCTTGCTCAAACTGGATTGCCACTCTATCTCCTTGAAGAAGCCAGACTTAATTTAATCCAATGCACAACTTTCCTAGGTAGCTGCATTTGGCATCTTTTCCAAAGCCAATGATTAGCTGCCTTCTGAGCCTGGCAGAGGGGAGCAGGGGGAGCGGGGGAGGCTGCCCATCTGCAAGCTCTGAGGGCAAAGTGATTCAGTTCCCACCTCAGTATGGCTGCAGCAGCAAAGACCGTGTGCTGTGTGTGCCCCTACTGTGTGTCTCTGCATGCCTGTGACTGTGTGTGCCCCTGACTGTGTGTCTCTGCATGCCTGTGACTGTGTGACTGTGTGCACTGATTGTGTTTGAGGGTGTTCTCTGTGAGCAACTATGGTGCTGACATGCATGACTAACTGTGTAGATCTCTGTATGCCTGCTTGTGTGTGCTGTGTGTTCCCATGTCTCTGCGTGCCTGTCTGTGTGTGCTGTGTGTGACTGTGTGTTCCATGTTTCTATATGCCTGTCTGTATGTTGTATATCCGAGTGTGCTCTCTGTGTGTGATTGTTGTTCCCACACTACTGGGACTGTGTGTACATGTGTGTGGCTATATGGTGTGTCTACTTCTGTCACCCTGACACCATTGGGGTCTGGTCTCATTAATTCTTCCTGGATATATACATATCTGATATATCCTTGGGCAGCAGAGCTCTAATCAGAACAAAGATGTGCTTATTCTTACCATCTATCCCCTTCTAAGCAAATATTTCTCAGCTGGGAGTTAGAACGGTGAGCCCAGAAGCTAACACTTAGGAAACAGCCTCCTAACAGGGAGCAAAGCAACTCAGGGCCAAGCCAAGCGAACTTTGCAGAATCTGAGCCGGCACCCAGCTGATTACCCCTGACAGAGGCCCAGAGAAGCACCCCTGGCTGTCTGAACCAGAGGAGAGGGCGGCAGACACAGAGGTGCCGAGGGGTCAGTGCCACCTCTGTGCAAGTGTGCAGATGGCAGACAACCACAAGTAGGCCAAGCTTCCCCCAGGGACAGGTTCCCCATCTGTTAATGTTCTGGCTAAAGGGAAGTTCAAAAATCTTAGAACAAGTCTAAGCTGTGTGTTCCAGGCTTACAGACCAGTTCTGAGAGAAAACAAGGAATTCTTGTCAAACATTGCTGCAGGGTGTGGGGCACCAAGTTCACTTTCTCTGGGCTTGAGTGTGTTCACAGGTTCCAAGTATAACCCTCCATGAGACAACAGAGGCCAGCAGGGATGGAGCACCTGCTACAGGCGATACTTTGTTGGAGGCACTTCACACCATGTAGCTCATGCTGTCCTCACAGTAGGCTCCTTACTTACTGGACAGGAAACTAAGGCACAGAGAGGTTAACCCACCTGCTGAAATTCACACAGTTAATATGTGATAAAGTAATGAAGGATTCCCAGGCTGCCAGAATGAAGCTCTTGTTCCACAAGGTCGGAGCAAGTCCCGCCTTGGCAGGTAAGAAGCACTGTCCCCAGTGTGTCAAATGCTTTTTTTTTTCCCAGCTGCAGGAGGCAGGCAAGGAGGCAAGTGACCAGGATGCAGACATATCATAGAAACACCGGCACCAGCCATCCTGGATGAAGCTCCTGCGTGTTAGGGGTTCTCCTCAGATCCATCTATTCTAGCGGCTCTGTTAGGCAGCATGGCAGCCCCAACATAAAGGTAGCAAACCCAAAGTTTGGAGAGAGAAGTGAACACCCAAAGGCACAGCGAGAGACGCTAGAACCCTAGGACTGGGCTACCACATGCCTAGATCTGAGTCCTGAACTCAGCAGCCCCCCTTACCCATCAGCTTCATTCTCCAGGTAGGGAAACTAAGGCTGGGATGATGCACAAACACACCATTCCTTCATGTACTGATGGCACCACACAGCACCCAGGCAAAGATGGCACCTTAAAGTCAGCAAACAGGACCCAGCGCATGGTCTGTTTTGTGCCCTAATTCCCCAGGCTGGGAACCCAGAACTGTAGACAAAATACGTGGAATGGACACACATTAAGGGGACCTGGGTTCAGGCCCCAGTTCTGGGTCCCTGAGAAAAGGTGTTAAACCTCTTCCTGGGACCACTTCCTCCTCTAGTACACTGTTCCTAGCCAAGCCTCGCCACTAGGAAGGGACTCGCTCTCAGCCACTGATTGCTTAGGCAGAACATGTAGAGTGAAGCGCTAGGGACCCGGGCACCCTCCACATCCTGGGAGGGTCATGCCACCAAAGCCCATCTTCTATAGACAAGACCACCGAAGCACTGAGCCAAAGCAGTCACCCCAGAGCCCACGCCCAGCGGCCAGCAGCAGAGTCCAGCAATATGGCTCTGAACTCCTTTTGCAGTCTTTCCCTGAATAGATAGCAGACACACAAGCCACACTACACCAAACCAGGGGACTGCATCCTGTGACCAGACAGAGGGAGCAAGGCAGTCCAGGTTCCAGCCATCGGTGCCCGTTCCCTAAGCGACCAGTGTCTCCAACCATGGCCAGCCCACATGCATCCACTTGTGAACCCCCAGGGAAAATGCCTTCGAACCCTGCCATCACTGCACTCAGAAGGTGGGTGACCCCAGTATTGCCCCGGAGACTTTTGAGAAATGCAAGCCATGGGGAAGGAGGTGAGGATGCCAGGGACTCCTAGGAGGCAGAAGGAATTAAGATCCGGATGTTAGAGAAGAGCTTGTCACCTGGGGTTCCTTCAAGTCAGAAGCAACAACACCCCCCAAGGGTCTTTGCTTCCAGAAGCAGACAGAAAGGTGTGCTACGAAGCGATGGTGAAGACGGCTTCAGGACATACAGACACTCGGCAAGAGCCTGCTGGGATGAACAACGACTTCCCCTTGCAAAGGAAGGAGGATTTGTCTCCCTCCTCCCATTCTCCCCAAAACTGACTTCACTGCTGTCTTCCTCAAACACATTCTATCCCATACGAGGAACCCCCACTACCAAATCCCCACAATGGCAATACCTTCTGTAAGGTAAACCGTAAACCTCCCGGACACAGCCTGGTTGAAGTAAAAATGGGGAAGGACAAAGGATAGGTTTTGGCTGGATTTGTTTTTGAGAGTTGTTTTTATCTGTATGAAAGAGGTTCACTCCTCAAGCAGCTGCAATGACTAGGGCTGGGCCAGGGATACATCAGGAGCCATACATTCCATGAGGGTCTTCCACATGAGTGCAGGAGCCCAAGCACTTGGGCCATGTTCTGCTGCCTCCCCAGGGACATTGACAAGCACTTGGATTAGAAGTGAAGTGGAGCAGCCAGAATTTGAGTTGACACCAATATGGGATGCAGGCAATGGCTAACCCACAATGCCTACAGTATCAGCTCCAGGTGGATTTAAGTCAAGTAAAGAAATTCTCAAATCCTCACATTCCTTCAACTCTGTGAGATTTCCCTGTCCTTCAGAGATGTCCCAGGGATGTTGAATCATCCAGATGTGTTCCTGTCTCTGCTCCAATAGACTGGCAGCCACAGTCTTACTCAGCTCTGTGCCCTCACCACACACCCCATGCTTAGCTCATGGCAGGTGTCCTGTACCTCTGGGTTGGGTTAAGTGCTAATTAACCTAAAGCACTCCAGGTCCCATTTTACCTCTGCTTCCTTCTGGTCCTCTCACCCTACAGATGTTCCAAGCAAGCTCCTATTTCTGGGCCTGCAAGGTTCTTGCTTTGTCAAGCCCACGCCTTTACATAGCTGCTCTTGCCCAGTAACTCACCACTTCTCTACTTCACCCAAGTCCATGCGGAGGGAAGCACCAGACACGGTTCTGTACTCTGACAGCCAGCACCCAACGCCTGGTTCCATCATTGGTGGTTGTGAACAAGACACTGGACAACTAGTTTTGTTTTCTTCACTAAAATTACGGGGCTAACCTCAAAGGATTCTGGGAAGAAATCACTACGGTACTCTTTATAAAGTGACAGCACAGTCCCTGGACTCAAGCCACCTTGGTTGTTGTTAAAGCTGCCACTGCTGATCATGATGAAGAAGAAACTTCCTAGAACCTCACCTGAGCCTCTCTGAGAACCCCTGAGGATATACCGCAGGTTTGATTTGCAGCCCCATTACCATGTCCCCTGTGACTGGCCTTGCCACAGCAATGAGACCACTACAGACGGCAGCACCCAACACCAGTTGGTTACGCCAGTATGTAATAAGACGCAGTACCCAACACCAATTGAACTATTCTACACCAGCAAGCAAGGTGTCTCAACACACTCGGACAATCCCCACCCATCCAGCAAGAAACTCTGACCTCTTTTGAATCAGGGAACAGACTTTTCCGCAGGTGGCTGACTGCTTGGAAATAAGACAAAAGCTGAGAACTCAGAACTCAGGGCATTGGAAGAGGAAGGCAGACAAGCTCCAGCACCCAGGCAGTACCAGCCATGCCCACTGTTAAGCAAAGGTCACCTGAGTGGATGCTGCTCCAGGCAGAAATGCCAGTTAGAGCACCCCCTGGTGGTGACACTGCCACCCACGCAGTCCTTGACTCAATAATTCATCCTTTGTATTGTCTTGTTCTGTCTCTCCAACTGACTGTTCACACACATGAGCATACGTACACACACACACACACACGAGACTCTAGAGTTACTAATTATCCAATAAAGAAACATCTGGGTAAGGATTGGTGTCTTTTAAATAAAAGGTTGGATTAGAAAATTCAGTTTCACCTTTAAAGAATTTCCATGCCAAGTCAAAAGAGACCTCAGGATTGTTTACGTATTAACTAATGAAATTTGAGCTTTCAAAAGAAATCAAGCTCTCTTTGATAGTGAAAACATGTGCAGTATTAAAAATTCTTCTACAACCATCTGAAGGTTTTTAAGGATCAAAGCAGACAAATGATATTTTATATTAAAGGCTTAATAAAATCCACGAGAACAAATCTAATTTATGTGAGGACACAGTATTTCTCATCTTTGTGTTGCAGGTATTGTAGATATCTCTATTGCTCTCCTTGTGTTGCCATGGAATAGTACTAAATCCTGCGACCAAATGTGTGACATTCATCAACTGCTATTAAAGAAAGTAAAGGCTGAACTTATTCCACGAGGGGGTTGGAGGATGAATGAGCAAGTGTGTCTGAATACCCCTCTTCTCGGAGGAGCCCAGATCTGAATCACTCCTCTTCTGTTTCGTTGCTGCCAATGCCAACATGCAAATTGCTCCATCCTATTTGTGTCTGTAGCCAGAATATTTGTGGCGTTTGGATTAGACTTCAAAACAACCCATTGTTCATAAATCTAGGACACAGCCACAAATTTGTCGCCATATCCCATATCACGCTCCATCTCCATGTTGTGTTTTATAGCATATGAAATGCAAAACTTTATGACGGAATGGGAATTCATGATAAATAGATGCCTTTCCTTCTTAAAGCCACAGAATAAACTCATTAAACGTACATGACTCCCTGCCTTTTAAGGATTTATAGATTGAAGCAAGAGCAGAAACAGAAAACATCTGATTTTAAACTTGAGTATCAGCAACGCTCTGCTCAGAACCATCCTAATTTTTCAATTAATCTGAGATTTAATCCAGTTTATTCTGCTGCAATAAAGCAACTATTTAAAAGCAATCACAGCAACACTGTAATGTGTATATGGTATTGTGGGCATTTCAGAGACTCTGTAGACAAAAACGTTTTCCCATTCATTTCAAGCAAGATTTCATCCATGAAATCTATGTTGGTTTTTTTTTTTACTTTTGACAAAAAACTGCTCTATGAAAACTCTGGGCAATTGGAATAAATTCTTCAAGTCACAATTTTTACCCATCAAAAATTCTGTCCTTGGTCTCTCAAAGCAATAACCTAAATATTTCCTGTTCCAGATAGGCGAGGTGACAATCATTGTCACCAAGGAGTCCTGCACACCTGGCTTGCAGCCCTCAGGGCAGTGCCATGGCTGAGAGCCAACTCCAGAGCCAGCTGCTTGAATCTGGCTCGCCAGTCGTGTGTCTTTGGGCAAGTTCCCTTGTGTCTGGTGCAATACTGAATCTATAAAATGCGCACATCAATGGCTCCTTCCCCTCCTGGATGAGATATCCCAGAGAAGTGAAATACAAAGACTGCAGTTGCCTGGTGGCACAGGGAGGAGGTAAAACAAACCCCAACAAACGCAGCAGCTACATGGATGCTTGCCTGTATATTCTAGAAGAATATCCAGGAGGTGGGCCACTGGGTGGCCTTTCCAGTGGCCACTTGGTATGGATCAGTTTACACTTGAAAGATGGTGAGCAGAGGTAGTTGGATAAAGTGAGGTTTATCCTAAAAGGAGCGGGGATAGGAAGTTCTTACTGACTTCTAGACATTCTTGATCATCAATATTTAGAAACAACTCAGCACAGCCCAGGCCAGCGAGTCCCTTCTATTCCACTAGTGTGGGCAGTTACTGCTTCTCACACGACCAACTGCCATTGTGATCTGGAATTGAACTTTCATTGGAGCAGCTCCTCCAGCATTCAAGCTGCCCTCTATTTTCAGCAAACATAACACCCATTTGGTTCACATTTGGGAGGTGGGTCAAAGTGGCCAGGAACGTGTGGTACTTACAAACATGAGGCGGGTAGGAATGTTGTCTGATTGCACCAAAGGGTTTTTATAGAGCCAGATCTCTTCCGGCTGGATGACTCTCTGGAATGGATCCAAAAATTCTGTAAAACTGAAACAAAACAAAGAAGAGTTCATGAAGGCTGAGCATTCTGCTGCCACCGGCAGTTCCCAAGGAGACCACATCTACATACCCCAGGGAGGGGAAGGGGGAAATCCATGTGGGGGAAAGAGGGAAATACACTGCCCCTGCTGACTGGCTCAGCCCGCTCCAACCTGGGAAAGACTGGGAGAATTCCTGAGCCTCTACAGAATCTTCTGGGGCCGCCTACCAGAAAGGCTCAATTCTGTTCAACAGGTAATAGCTGTGAGTCTGACATTCAAAGGCACTGGGAACTAGGGATTTCCAAGCAAGCCAGAAGCAGATGTACCGTGTGGCGGGCTCAGACTGGGGCAGGCTGCTCCAGCAGCACAGTCTCTGGAATGAAATGCTCTTGAACACAAGTAAAGCAGCAATCGCCTCCTTTGGGGGTGAGGGAGAGGTTGGGGGAAGGGAACTGTTCCCTCCTACAGGGCCACCCTGAGGGCCAGGTGCCCATGCTGGGTCACAGCAAGAACACAAAGAGGAGAGAGGGAGTTGGGTACACTCTGGGGCTGCAGACATGACAACCTTAATCCTCCTCCTCAACCCTCCCCACTCCCGTACACACTTACAACCTCCAACAACTATGGCTTGTGCTGTGTTTTCATTAGCTGGGAAAGAAGCAACCACTGCCAGAAGAAAAGTGGGGTGATGCAGGGAGATGGAGTTTGCTCTATTGGATGCTTGCCATCACCTCCCAGCTCTCCAGCCCAACCTCCCCAAACGCACTGGGTTCAACTCCAGACATGGTTGGAGTGATCCAAAGGGCTATTTGATTCTTGAGTGTTAGGCTAAGGAAGTTTGACTTGGAGCAACTCGGAGATTTGACTGCGAAGAATGGAATGGGAATAGGAATTCCAAATGGTGGCTCTGGCAGTGGTGAGGCTGGGACTTGCAGCAGAGCAGAGAAGGGAAGGGCAGATGGGAGGGCACCTGCCCTGGAAAGAGATGCCTGCAGAACAAAGACATGGGTAGCGTGGGAGCTGATTTCAAGGTTTCTGGTTTGAACCAAGACAAGGAGTTCATAGATAAAGGGCAGGGTGAGAATGAGATCAACCAGCATGCCCTTTGGGACTGTCTAGCATCCCCAGAGTCTCAGGGTGCTCTGCTGCAATAGCGGAGAAAGGTTTTAATGGTGGTGTCATTTCCCTCATATGCTATTCATTAGGCATAGATTCTAGGGATCAGCCCCTCTCCAGGGCAGGGGACTGGCTCTCCCTCTGCCTGGGTATGGCAAGGTTCTAGGACAGAAACACAGCTGGAAGAGGGAGCCTTACTCTTGGAGACCTTGAACTGCGATCACTTTCTATTTCTTGTCCTGCAGCCATGGTCTGGACACAAGGTTGAGCACCTTCCAACCTCACCTCACTGTCTCCCAGGCTTTCTAGACCCATGGCAACTATTCTAAAGCTGCATGCACCAGCCTGCTGCACAGTCCCTCACCTGACCCCAAGCTGCCACAGCCAGAACACATCGATCAAGCAAATGATATCCTCTGGGAGCAGCAGAGCTGAGAGAGATAGATGGCCCTTCTGATGCACACCCCAGCCACCAGCGTCTGCTGCACACTCCAGACAGCTGGGCAGCTCCTTGCAGAATCCAGGTCTTAGAGAGAGGCCACGCCCAGGCCTGGAAACGTCCTTCTCTGAACTCTTCAAACATAGGTTGGAAACCAAGACGTGAGAACCCTGCTTCTAGCTAAAGGGTGGAATGTGACCTCTCCCCCAGGGCTCATTACCCACTGAAAACTCCCTGGCAGTGGGTGAAGCCAGCAGTTTCCAAGTTGGAGTGTACCCAGCAAGCCTATGGCATCTCGTGATTGCAGATCCAGTGACAGCAGGTCCAGGGATAGCTCTGGTACCTGGCTCCACCAGCAAGCTTCCTGGTAATGCTGCAACTCTGTGGGTCAAATCTGGGGCATACAAGTCCAGGACATCTAGATCCCCCAGGAAATTCCTACATGGGATCTTAGCCAAAAGGTCAAGAGGCAATAGAAGGAGTTTCTTACAAATGCAGATTCTGAGGCCCTGCCCCTGACCTCAGGTGTCAGAGTTTGCATCCAACAAGAGCCAAATAGGGACTCCAATGACCATCGCTTTTGAGACCCAGAGCTTTCCAAGAAAGCAAGCCAGTCTTCCAAGCTGCCTAGTTTTGCCTTATCTTCTCCCTGGTGAGGGACAAGCCAGGTGGTTAGACTAAGCCCACGGCTCCGAAGCCTCGTCTCCCCAGCCCTATGTTATCCTATCCTCCTACCTGTCAGTCAATTAGCCCATTTCCCAGGATGCTTCTCCCTTCACCTGGGATCTAGGGGAGGTACCACTCCTCTTCCAATCACACGAAGAGGCTGCCAACTGGGAGGGGCTAGCTCTGCAGAGACAAGTGCAAGACAAGGTGCTAAGGCACCATTGCTGTCTATTTCCCTCCTTGCCCCTTTCCTGGCCCACTGCATTCCTGAACTATGCCTACCTGTATAGGAGAGAAAGATTCTCACTTTTAAATAAACTTTACCATGCTATAGACCACACGTATGTCTACTTAAAATGCTTCTCTAGGCAAAAGGCAAGAACCTGGAAGAGGAATTTAGGCACCACCTCTCCCACAACATCTCTCTCTCTACACTTCACTTTTTCTCTAGCGCGAACTCTTTGGGTAAAACAAATTAAATAATTTTGAAGGAAATTCATGTCACTGCTTAAAGATAAGCTTGGCATTCCCTGACACAGCCCTGGTAAACATCAAGACAAAAATAATGGAATCAGAGGCACGCCAATTCAATCCCCCCTCTTGAGAAGAGGCCATTTTCTCCGCGAGGGGTGATGAGTTGTGTCCCTCAAGCCTTCCACGTAAGAGGGAAGTGATGAAACAGCACTGTGGGCGCTGCAGATGGGGAATAACCCTCTCCTGGACTGTGGTGTAGAGTCTGTCACATACAGGTGCAGTCTATCTTTTTTAAGATTTATTTATTTTTATTTGAAAAGCAGATTTACAGATAGAAGGAGAAGCAGAGAGAGAGAGATCTTCTATCTGTGGGCTCATTCTCCAAATGGCCACAACAGCATGACGTAGGCTAGCCAAACTAGGAGTCTGGAGTTTCTTCCAAGTCTCCCACATAGGTGCAAGAGCCTAAGGACTTGGGCAATCCTATTCTGTTTTCCCAGGCCATTAACAGGAAGCTGGAGAATAAGTGGGGCAGCCAGGACGTGAACTGGTGCCCATGGGGATGCCGGCACCGCAGGCAGAAGATCAGCCTGTTACACCATTACACTGGCCCTTTCAGGCATAGTCTAAATTTATTGTGCTTGGAGTGGGCATTGGACACAGCAATGCTGCTATTTAAGATACCTACATCCAGCACCGAAGTGCCTGGCTGGATTCCTGGTTCTGCTTCTGATCTAGCTTCCCACTAAGGCGCACACTGACAAGGCAGTGAATGATGTCACCCATGTGGGAGACCAGAATAATGTTCCTGGCTTCTGACTTCAACCTGACCCAACCCTGACTAATCAGAAGATGGAAGACTTCTCTCCATCTTTCTCTTTCTCATTCAAACAAAATAACAATCAATTAAAAATAAGCTCTAAAATCACCTCAGGTTCCACTTACATCACAGGAGAAAAACATAAAAATTAAGATGAAAATTCAAAAACATAGCCATCAGGAGTCACCAGGTGAAGAGGAAAATGGCCACACTGACCTCAGTAACTCATGAGTGTCCACACTGTCTGGCCAGCACTTCAGCTTACAAGTGTCCATGTCCCATGGTCAACACTTGAGCTCAGATTCTTGGGTTCTTGATAAGAGGCTGCAGGGAGTGTGGCAGTTCTGGGACCACAGGCAGGTGCATAACACCACATGGTATACTGCTACTTCCAATACGTGCAGTGTAGAGAAAAGCTCCCGAATGCCCAAATGGCTGTGACAGATCCACAGGTGCCCCTTCCAGGACAAGGACGCCACCTGCTATTCCCACTGGGAATGGCATCTTCCCATCCCTGCACGGTCTCCAATGAGAACACAGGAACTGGGGTAACCTCGATGTGACTTAGTCTTCTGAACCCCAGTGGGACAGACACTGCCTATCATCAAGTGCTTAAGAGCTTCAAGGATTCCGAAGACTTCATTGAGTTTCATGATCAGAAACAAAGAGAAAGGGCAAGCCCTGTGTGAGGAGGAGGCATGGAAACACAAGAGATCACAAGGATCATTCATTTATCATTTCAAAGAGAAGCTGCTATTGCACAAGACTGTATTGCTGTGAAAGCAACATTTTCTTCACTGTTGTCCGTCAGCTCTGACTCGGCATCCAGAGCCAGTCTAACCTCAGAATAACTGACTTCTTCCTTTATTAAGCAGAGCCACTGAACTGCTCATACGTCAACTTGGTTCCACTTCAGAAATTCCAACTAAAAATAAAATGTCTAAACTCTGTAGGTCAAATGCATCTACATGAAAGGCACAGACTCACAGCCAAGCAGACATCACTTCCTCTCACAAAAATCACACCTGTTCAAAGTTAAGTAACACGGGTACGCATATTAGCATGTATGTAAGACACATACTTGTGAACATACAGCCATACTCCTGGCAACTCATCGTATTTCCATAGTTTAATATGCTTTCCCCAGCCAAGGCCACACATACGGTTACACAGAAAAGGTAGAGAAGTACAGACACAGATTATCATGTATGTCAATCATTTAGTCTAATAACAAGCATTTTCTGAGTCTCTACAACATGCCAGGTAACATCCTCTAACACTGGTGAATCAAAATACATTCCCCACTCTTTTTTTTTTAAGATTTATTTATTTATTGGAAAGTCAGATATACAGAGAGGAAGAGAGACAGAGAAGAAGGTCTTCTGTCCGATGATTCACTCCCCAAGTGAGCACAACGGCCTATGCTATGCTGATCCGAAGCCAGAATCCAGGAACTTTCCGGGTACCCCACATGGGTGCAGGGTCCCAAAGC